AAGAGGGTGAGAGGCACACACATTACATTGTATACACACTCTTTGAGCATACAATCATGTTTGAACATACAATTTTCTTACTTGAGATACTATGAAACGATTTCACAAAGGACTTTGCAGGACTAGACAGTATTAGTACTACAGGAAACAGGACACACAACAGGTACACAAGGAAAGAATACATTGGCACAAGGACAAGGACACAGAAAGACAGGAAGTCAGTACTAGAGCACATTGATTCACACATGGATTTGCCAAATGAACAGAGAATTGGTAGCATATACTCAGGACTTCAGGCAGTGCTACTACACATACAGACAGAACATTTCATTGAGACATACATGGAACAACACAGTATACAGACAGTTACAGTACTCAGGAAAGTAGAGAACACTACTTAGACATTTTGTGATAGAACATCACACTATGAGATATTGAAAGTATACTCAGACAATTCAGGAATTGAATCAATTGACTTACAAAGACACGAACGAGTTGAGACACAAGGAAACAGTATGAGAATACAGTAGGACATTCATCACACACAGAGATACCACACATATACACACATATCTAGTAATATTAGGCTCATACCTCACAATCTCATTGAATTCAAGACAATATTTTCATTCAAGGACAGATATTACACTCTACATTACACTCTACAATTAGTATTTGGACATCAAGCTCAACAGGATATCCAGTTTTGCATCACAGTTGGTTATTGCATGCAAAAGAATACACATTTGAACATATTCTACCAATACAAGTACAAGGCACTATATTTGCAGGAACTAGTCTATTGGAAAAATCAAGGACATAGTAGAGGAATTTCAGAATACATCTCTACTATGTGTTATTGTATTACTATCCTACAGGAACAAGAATTCACACAAGGTCAGTTAGAAGCTACAATGCTAATACATTCTATTGAGGAAGAAGGCTATAGCTTTGTTGATCAGGGATTTACCTCTGTGCTTCCTGAAGATGTGAGAGAAGAGAATATTTGCAATTACTACACTGCCAGAATTTCCACTTCTGTACATATCAATCTACACTGTGTGTCTCAGAATACTCAAGAGCTGAATTGTCATATCTCCCCAGGAACTCCACCAATTCCCTTCTAAAAGTGTTGTATCAATAGCAACAATCAAGGGGCAACTTTCCTACTAATTGACTATATGGTAATATTGACTATGTTTAATTCTATTGACGTTTTATCTAGTTTCACATAGTTTGGAACCATACTACTCACTGTCCAGAATGCTACCACTGTCTCAATACTCACTGGATCGACTTCGGATCACTTCAGAGAGGCAGTACTACATCATAATAATGTTTCCCATACACATGGGCAAGTTATTTCTTTATTTACTTGTTACTAATTGTTACTTTAAGTAAGTTTTCTGTCTTTTTTCTGATTTTTAGCATTTAGGACTAAATGCTAGAGGGTGAGTGTAAGGATTTGATTTACTGGTTTGTATTTTACTATTACTACATTGCTGATTGTGTCAGATCACTGTACAGTAGGACCCACAAGCACATATATTCTCATTGTAGTTAGTTACACTTCCTCCTCATGTATCTACACGTGTATACTCTTATAAAAGACAGTATTGACCACTGGGTAAAGGGGATTCTTTTCCCCTAACCCCTTACTCGAGTACTAGGTTATCCCAGTCAGTAGTTGAGTAAACTAAGGGCAATTAGAATTCTCTTGTGAGGAACAGTGAGTTTCCTTACACATTGAAAGTATACTCAGACAATTTAGGAATTGAATCAATTGACTTAAGAAGACATGAACAAGTTGAGACACAAGGGAACAGTATGAGAACACAGTAGGACATTCATTGTGCACAGAGATACTGTACATATACACACATATCTAGTGATATTAGACTCATACCTTACAATCTTATTGAATTTGAGACAATATTCTCATTTGAAGACAAATATTATACTCTAGGTTACACTCTGTAATTAGTATTTGGACATCAAGCTCAACAGGATATCCAGTTTTGCATCACAGTTGGTTATTGCAAGTAAAAGAGTACACATTTGGAGATATTCTACCTATACAAGTACAAGGCATTACATTTGCAGGAACTAGTCTATTGGAAAAATCAAGGACATAGTAGAGGAATTTTAGAATACATCTCTACTACCTATTATTGTATAACTATTCTACAGAAGCAGAGAAACATGCAAGGTCAGCTAGAAGCTGTAACACTAATACATTCTATTGAGGAAGAAGGCTATAGCTTTGTTGATCAGGCATTTACCTCTACACTTCCTAAAGCCATAGGAGAAGAGAATATTTGCAATTACTATACTGTCAGAATTTCCACTTCTGTACATATCAATCTACACTGTGTGTCTTAGAATACTCAAGAGCTGAAACACTATATCTCCCCAGGAACTCCACTGATTCTCTTCAAAAAGTGTCATATTGATAGTAACAATCAAGAGGCAACTTTTCTACTAATTGACTATATGGTAATATTGACTATGTTTAATTCTATTAACGTTTTATCTAGTTTTACATAGTTCAGAACCATGCTACTTACTGTCCAGAATGCTACCACTGTCTCAATACACACCAGATCAACTTTGGATCAGTTCAGAGAGGCAGTAATACATTATGAGGATGTTTCCCATATGTATGGGTAAGGTATTTTATTATTTACTTGCTACTAACTATTACTTTTGGTAAGTTCACCACCTTTTTCTACTGATTTTTAGCATTTAGGACTAAATGCTAGAGGGCAAGTGTAAGGATTTGATTTACTGGTTTGTATTTTGTTATTACTACATTGCTGATTGTGTCAGATCATTGTGTAGTAGGACCCACAAGCACATATATTCTCATTGTAGTTAGTTACACTTTCTCCTCATG